CAGTTTCAAAGGAGTTAGAAAAAAAGATACTTTAGCAGAGTCACCCCACTGAATTGCATATGCTCACATATGTTACACAATGTTATGAAGCCCGAAATAAAACAGTCCATGTGTGGTGGCAAGTGAAGTTTGCCTGACTGAGAAGTGATCGCCTCATGTCATGACTTCATTTTGAAGTGGGTAACATTGAAGTCAACCATGATGGGTAAATCAGGGGAACCGATTTCAATATTGTAAATGAACTTTTACATCACATACATTTCAACTGGCTCTCTAATTGTTTTAGTGCTCTTACCTATAACCAAGGAACAGAATAAGCATTGCACAGGAAGACATTAATTTGGGGACTTATTAAATCAACTATTCAACATCAAATATCCATAAAATAGAGAAACCAACCAAACGTGGTGATAAAGGTCAAGTCTAATTGCTTTTTTTTCTCTTTAAGACCCGATTTGTCCAAGCCATAAAGAAGCAATGAAATTACATGTGGGGAATATTTCTGCCACTGGTCTATGATTTCTTTCTAGGAACTCTGAAAATGAAACCCTGTTAATCATGAAGCAATAGAACACAGGAGGATAAATAGCTGAAAATCTATTTAAAAGGACTGTAGTTGTCTTAGTGGAGATGTTCTATTTCTTTAAAAATAGTGTAGCAAAATAAATTCGCCCAAATTTCTTTTGCAGACAGTTGTCACTTTCTTCTGTCACTTTCTAATATACTGAATTAATGAGATTCAGAGGTAGGAACATGATGTAAATTTAACTTAATTTGCTTATCATAGAAAAAAGTTTCCAAATCAACAGAATGACAGCAACTAGAGTTGTGAAACTTCAATCGCTTTCACAACTTCTATAGAACATGAAACTTGGCCAGTTCTGAAATATTCCCCAGTTTCATAAAGCAATGAGAATACTTCTCTTGGTGATTATGGTACTGTGAGAAGTCCTCCCTGAAGGCAGAGGTTAATATGCAGGCAAAAGTAATAGGAGGCCTATGAGCTGGACTACTGTTTTTTCTATCCTGTGGAAAGGATCATAGAAACTTCTTTTTTTATTTTAACAATTTGCTTTTCTTTACTATTATTTATACTGCTTGAAAACCACTTAAGAATGATTATCTTGTAAGTTGAGAACTAATTTGAATATATTTATAAATATCCTAAACACACATGAAAATCTAGATTCTGAATAAAACATTCACATGATGAACATACAAGTTCTAAATGGAAACTGAGATTTAAAAGACCAGCAAAAGTACTTATTCCTTTAAAAAAGGTTCCTCTACTTTTCAGCATCCAATCCAAAATGTCATTCTCACAATCGTGTACTTTACATCATGGCTTTAATTGCCAAGCCATATTCTTTTTCTGTTAAAAAAAAAGCCAGTAGACACTACATAGCTTATCAACACTGTTTCATATTAATACAGTGTGCTACATGTTGATTTTAAAATGGGCCAGATGTGATTCATTTAGCAACTCTCTCCTTCATCTTCTTTACTTGCCACTGATGGCTAATTAGTCATAATCCATTTTTCCTCATGATATTTATTGTGAGAACAAAAGGCATGAGAATTATTATTCAAGAATATCTCTAAAAATGAACAAAAGCATGGATACACATAGGTAGAGCTGTGAGAGATCAAGTGCTAAAGGTGATTCAGAACATACATAGATTTGCTCATAGCATCTATTGGAAGCATTCTATATTTTCCTATAATCCTGCAACTGCTACCATTTAACCACTGAAAAAAAATGTATAGTTGTAAAGTGCTATATGTGCATCTATACACACTCTCAAAGTTTGCCCCTCAGATCTCCACATAATCCTCTTTATTCATATGTAAAGCCCTATCTGAATGCCCTGGGATTTATTTGATTTATATGGCTACCCATAACAATACATGACCAGGGGCAGCTAATAATATTAAAAAATTAGTCACACTATGAAGAGCTGCTGATTTGGAAGTGCCCTTTATATCATAACATACACTGCTATTCTTAGCCAACTTAATTTCAGCAGAATCGGAATTTCCATTTTAATTGCACTACAGGAATATGTGAATGTGTGAGAGAGTAGATTTAGAATTACGTCATGCTAGTTTTTTTTTTTTTGACTATACAAAGCATTTCAGAGTCCATGGTTTATACCAGCAGTAAATTCACTAGCAAGCTTCTCCCATGTGTACAAATAGGCTCACATAGGATTAAAGTAAAACAAATGCAAATAATACTAATAGGATCCCTAATATTTTAAATGTATACACATAAACAAAACTACTTAGTTATTTAGAGGAGTTTAACTGAAGCAAATGCCACTCTTAAAATATGACTAAAATATTTAAAATACATGGAGATTTAGAAATTATCTGAGTTATTAAACTTTTCCCAGAAACGTATGTCTATATTGTTTCATAGTGAACTGAATTTTTTGTTGTTTAAAATCCCTATGTGTTACTTCTTCAAGTTAAGTGTTCTTTCCTCTAAAACATGGGGAAGCCAACTGACCCTGTACAATTTAGTTTGTAGCAGGCTGCAAAATACATTCACTGTTAAAAAGAGTTGATAGGAGTGATTCCTAAAAGAAGAACATCAGTGGCCAAGTCACCAGGCAGTATCCTTACTAGGGAAAACCTCCATTTTGTGTTCACATATTTGCATGCACGGTTATTCAACCATAGTTTACTAAATCCATTTTTTTAGGATTTACATAATGTACAGAAGAATGAGTTAACCACAAGGGCTGGATCTGAACAACATGCCAGGATGGCTGGTATGTTTTTGGTCTGTATATTATGCAAACACAGCCTCTTACCAGTTTCTATTACATCTGTGTATGATTGATATCTAGAATAAGAAAGAAGAAATTTAACCATCTCCCTTCAAAACCATCAGTGATTATAGCTGCCTAGCAACTCCTGGTAAATCATTGCTATCTGCTGATTTATTACTACTGAGGAGCTGAGATAGCATGTTGATTCCACCATCAAGGAAGTGTTAGCTTTTTGAGGTAGTCCAGACAATCAGTATAACAATGAATATTAGCTGTATCTTTAGTGTAAGGTTATATTAACAGAGTTTTGCAAGCTGAACATATTATTCCTATCCTTTCCTTTAACTCTCTGGAAAACTAGTGAGGGTTCCTTCTGAAATGCTTCCCAAATCCCCTCCTCTTCTGTGGACCACATATCTTTCATATATGGCTCTTCCTCTTGTTTCCCATTCCCCGCATACCATTAGACAGACAAAAAACAAAGGATACTGATTTGTGAATCCATACTTCTAAATGTGCACTTAATAGTTTTGGATTTGCATAGTTCAAATATGCAAGAACCAGAGTGAAATATCTGCTTCATTAACAACCTTTCCCCACACATATCTTCTCTATCTAGCTATCTCAAGTCTAACCTAATTATCTCAATTATATCATTTATCAAAAATGAGGACACATTGAATTCTCTTCACCCCCAAGTGCCCAAATGCATGTTTAAAAATGGCATCCTTTGACCTTTCCATGCTGCCAAGCCAGCAAAAGGATGACCGCATGTAGCAAGGAATATATCATCTTCAGCAAAGCGTGAAAGAGACTAAAAATTGTAAGACTACCATTAAAAGCAAAGGGCTGTATAATAAAAAGGAGAACTTTAACACAAAGATTTGACCTTTACAAGGACATATGAGCATTATATCTGAAAACATCCTAGTGACATTCAAACCCAACAGGTGTCCTCTATCAAACACTGCAGCCATCCTCCCCTTCCTTCCACCTGTTCTCCATGTGAGAACAGTCACTCATATCGCTCCAGCATCTACACTGACTTCCTATTGTTTTCTAAATGCAACCCAAAGGGCTATTTTCAATCCATCTCCAGAAAACCTCTGACAGCTGTGAATCATCACATGCTTTTATATTGGTCTAGCATAGGCATCTAGAGAAAGATTCTGCATGGATTTAGATTGAAAGTGTATCTTGTCTAGGAGCAGTTTTTGTTTTATTTCTTTATTTTTATTTTTTGCAAAGTGCTAGTCAAAATATGCTTTGTGATGATTGGGAGGTTTTGTATAAGACTATTTTAGGCATGCTTTATAAGGAAAAGGCTTTTTGGGTAGCCCTGCAGGACAAATGCTCTGCTGAATAGCTGGAGAAGGGCTGCCATGCAGAGCAGACAGATATGACTGACTTGCAAGAAAGTTTGAGGCAATGTTTCCCAATGTTTCCCAATCCTTTAAACGTGCGGACTAGCTGGGGAATCCTGAGAGTTTTAGCCATGCTTGGGAATTCTGGGAGTTGAAGTCTACACATCTTAAAGTGGTCAAGGTTGAGAAGCACTGTTTTAAGGTACCTTTATGCCAGATTAGATAGGGTTTTTTTAAAAATGAGTCCTCCTTTGGAACCTTTATTTTCAATTTGTGCTAGTGTAAAATGCACAAATTCCATTTTATATGCCTCAGAGAGGTTTCAATCTCTCCCTTTGGAAGACATTTGCTTTCTGCAAATGTTTTCCAACACAAATGTGCAAACTACCTTGAACCTTTAATTCAGGCTTGAAGTTCTTCTTCTGTGTAGTAAGGTTAATTCGTTCATTGTAACTTATGCAGCATAAATAAGTCAACAGAAATCTACTTAATGCGTTCTTAGTTGTCCTTTAACCGTACTTTCCTTAAAGTCAATCAATTTAGAAAAGTCTTGACAATCTTAGCTCTTGTCAATTTTCATTGGTCAAGGTCAAGATATATGTATTGATGGGTCTTACTTTAGTTCTATTTTTCACAATGGAAATAAGCAGAAACCTTTTCCATAGAAGGGTGGATGGAAATTCAACTGATAAATCATTGTGTGTTGCTACACCTGCAGGCCAAAATATCTCATCAGTTACATTTTTGCAGTACTCAACATAGCATTATTGAAAGTATGAAAAGGCAATATATTTAGAGGGCCTAAAACTTAGAGAAATAGAAGTTGTTGGGTTCATTCAATATCGTTCACATTTCATACCTGCTGCATTGGTTCTTCCTCTAAATACATCATCATAAGCTTTCCACTGGGGTGTCACTTGATAAACATGGATGAACACCACAAACACTACCACCAGGCATACTAGTGGTACCAGGGCAGCAGTAAAAAGGGCTGCATAAATATTTGGAATGAAGCACCTGAAAGGGAAAAAGAAAGCAGAGTCATTATCAAGTATTATAGGAACTTTGACTAGAGTGTGGAAGTTACCCACACATGTTGTTTAACCATATGATTTTCAAGAGTAAAAAGGAAATTCAAATGACATTTAATCATCTCATATATCTTGAATTTATAAGGGACAGCAATTGTCAAAATGGGATTAAATGTTTTTAAGTATAATAAAAGTTTTTACAAATGCAGTTTTCCCAAATAGAAAAAAGCTACTCACTCAAAAAAAAAAACCCCACCCTTCTACATGTATATTTATCTAATTTAGTAGCACTATTAAAAGAATATGCATTTTTGTACATTTATCATCGGTTAACACAGTCAGAATTTCTTTAAAAACATATATAAAACCAAAAATGATTGGCATATAATAAAAGTTTCCATTTTAGATAAAACAACTGTGGGTTTCCTTTTGTAATAACTTTCCTCCCACTATTTTTCCTTTTTCAGTTGGAGAAGTGAATAGGGCTAGACCTCACCCATTCAGAAACCAAAGCTGAAATCTATTAATACTTGCCTCATGTAAGCCCAATTACGGTGGGTTCTTTTGATGTAAATAAATGAGAACTGACAGTCCAAGAAAAACATACTGTTTGATTACTTTACCAGAATACTGTGAAGTTTTATTTATGTAGTTAAAATATAGAATGTCAATAGCAACATTATTTGGTTCACAAAACTTAATTGTATTTAAAGAACTTTTGGACTGAATTGGGTATTGAGCAGGTTTTTTTTAACTCCAGTGTAGGTCTATAAACTTCTGCTCCTTACCAACTTCAATAGCCAATTGTTTTATATTCACTTTTTTTCAAATCAGATAAAAAAGCCATTGGCATATTCTAGCATTCCCACTGTTGCCCTTTTCTACATTCATTAGATTAAAAAAAATGTTGAATCTCCACAAAATGTTCAGGAATATCTCCCCATTGGTCAATTCTGACTAAAAATGAGAAATACTATATGATCAGTAAAAGCTTGACTTACAACTACAATTAGGACAAATGTCTATGGAGATTCTCAATCATCCAAGTCATGGTTGTCCCAAGGGTGCTTTTTCAAAAGGCAACTGGATTTTCTTGATTTTGCTTCTTATCCAAGAAGCTCCTTTAGTTCTGAAAAGAGAACCTAGGAAGCTTCCTGGATAAGAAATGAAATGTTTTCAAAGAAAAAACCAAGGAAGTCCAGTTGCCTTTTGCAGTGAAGCTAAGCAGTGAAACTAAGCTATTTTTAAGTGAGTTGCACACAATTTTACGACCATTTTGGCCATGGGTACAGTGAATCACTACAGTTGTTAAATGAATCATGCAGTCATTAAGTAAATTTGCCTTCTCCCATTGACTTGGGAAGGTTGAAAATGGCAATCATATGACTCTGGGATGCTGTAAAACCATCGTAAATACATGACAGTTGCCAACCACCCTAATTTTGATCATGTGATCATGGGGATGCTGTGACTGTCATAAGTGCAAGAACTAGCTGTAAGTAAATTTTTTCAGTGGGCATTGTCATTTTGAATGATTGCTAAGCAAAAAGTTGTAAATCAAGGACTATTTGTAATTGGGACTCCGCAAGAGCAAATACTGTATGTCCATTCAAAACTACTATCAAGATGCTTCTCTTGTACAATTAATTTCTGTCTATCCACACTTTTATGGAAATGCACAATTACCAGATTTTATCTTTCTTGAAGATTAAGATTGAATATTTATAAGCAGGTTTTAAAATTAACTATCATTACCAGTGTCATCTTTACTATTTCCAATGAGTATACCTAAAATTCTAGTTCTGTACTGGTTAGTAAAACATTGTGAAGGTTTCTATCTTTTGTCCTTTCATTTCTAAACTGATTTATTGTGAAGAGAGTTGATTTATAGCATAAATTACTATTGTAAAAAATACAGTGTGCATCTGCCAACCTTACTATTTTTAGAATGCAAGAATATGAGAAAAAGCAATACAAATTACTAATTAAATGTACAAATCATCCACAAATTATCTACCTATTGCATAGAAGGGTCTGAGCTATCTTGGCAGTGAGTTATATATTATGACTGGGAATGCCTTATGGGAGAGAAGGAAACTTGTAGTGCTCTGAATCTTTATTTAGTTATGGGATTTGTATCCTGCTTATTTGAGTATGTTGGCTGGATAACAGTTAGCAGAATAAATAATAATAACTTAAAAGTGCATTACATGTAAGTTAGAAAATAGTAAATTATAATGAAGTTAAGCTAACATAAAAAATTAAAGATTAAGCAGGGTCAAAACCATTAGTGGGCTCATTAGTTCTTATGTACTCAAGTTTCTCCCCAAATAGCCACAGTTTTGCAGCTTTCTGAAAACTAAGCACTGTATTCCAAAGGCAGCCAGCCATGCTGAGCAGACTTATCTCCAGGATTGGAAAAGCCAGGTTTTTTTTAGCAAGTGCTAAGTTCAGAGGTCTCCATAGGATTCACATCACTTACCAGAATTATTTAATAGATGATAATGAATTCTCTTATGAAAGTGACCTAAGTTAATGTTCTATTTTTCTCTATTAATCTTAAGTCTCAATGGACTGTATATAACTGTCAAAAACTATTACTTTGTGCACATGAAAAATATACTGAGCATACGTGTGAATGAAACATTTTAGAAAGAAGGAAGGAACGTGGAAGATCAAGTTTAGTAGTCATCTATGGAAACCAAGCTTTCATCTGCAAGAATTTGTATTACCATACCTCTGCAGTGCAGGGAATATAGCAAGCTTCATAGTACTATAATGTTGCCATTTTGTTGGGCATACAAAAATAGAATGTGGATAAGCACAAGACATTTTTATTATTGCAAATATATTGACTATGAGTCTATGCTGTTTTGGCTGAAACACCAAAAAAGAGAATTATTATGTCCAAATATTCTTCAGGCAATTATTAATTTCCTCTCTGTGAAATATCCAGCATATTGTTTACACAGATTATATTATGAATTTATTGCACCCTAAAGTTTAGGTGGTGTTTAATAATAGGTAGTGCTAATGATTGAAAGAAAAACCAGATTATGTTGATACTCTTGGCAGCTGTCACTGTGACTATATATATACTCCAGGATGGGGCTCTATTGGATCCGTCATATATTGTGTCTCTATGCATATCCTGCTTTCAGTCCAATGTGTGCGCATGACTATTTTCAACCCTTATCTCCTATTCCTGCGTGGGCCTTTCCTTCCTATTTGCAATGTTAGTTGCATATTTCTCCCACTGCATGCCAAATCTCTGACCTGATTGTGCTGCTCAATGAGGAGCGGTGACAACTTATAAGTAAATGTTATTTGAGTGTCTGTTTGTTTTGGTTTTTGCTGACCGCATATAAATGTTGGGAGCTGTTTAGGATGTAATATTTTCTGTAGAATTATCAAAGTTTTGGGTATTCTGTTTTAAGAGCAGTTTGATAATATGAAAGTAGGTTTATTGTTATACTTAGTGAATTCATATAGACAAGAGTGTTAAAACAATTGTCACAATATGTTTTACAATATACTATCTGAGAATGCAATACAATAGTTTTTGTTCAACTGTAAATAATCTAAAATCTTCCATTTAAAGATTGTTGCAGAGACCTAAATCACAGTCGTCTTATCAAAAGAACTACATCTGCTTCTTTTTCCAACTGAGAGGGAGGAAATATGGATTGATCAAGCAACTTTTCTTATTGTCTGTTTATGCTGCATAGTATTGTTGAACAAATGCTAATACAAATATTCATACAAATGTTTGATAAAACTTCCACTTTCATTTTTAGCAGCTACCACTGTGCCCTTACCTGTAGAACAAACAAGCTAACATCTAAATCAAAGACAAAGTAATGCCAGCTAAAATCATAAAAGTTTATTAGCAATTAGATTAATTACAACTTTTTATTTGTGAACACAATAAAAAAATTGTAGATGTTTGCTTGCTCTCAGAAGAACTGTGTAGATATCAAACATTTGTCAGGCTAGCTAATGCCATCGTGTTTCCCCAAATTGAGTTTGATTACTATAATTACCAAGAGTTATTCTTCCTCAAGTAATCACCAAAGATTAGCCATTTATATTATGGACAGGTATTGAATAATATAATGACCAATAGTTACTGCCAGACAGATCAACAATTCCTTCCCCATTTTATCTTTGAACTTTCTGAACCAAAAGATTCTGTGACGTGCACTCCTGTTCGCAAAGGAAAACAGTGAATAGATAAAAGTATTATGTTGATGAAGTATTGTGTCAGACTGAAGAAGCTACTTGGATAAGCAGCAAGATGTTTCAAATGAAAAAAGTCAGGTTGCCATGACTCAACTTTCAGATGAAAATATTAAGTTTGCATGATTGCAGAGTTTGTACCAGCAATGATGGCTAGTGAATGGCAGAAAATTCCTGATCCTCAGTGTACAACAGTTTGTATGAACAGAGCTTATGTATTTGCTTTGGCAATAAAAGTACATAACTTTGCCTACATTTCAAATTTATGGGACTAGAAATTTCACCTAATGTGGTTATGATACCAGTAGGGATCTGATACGCCCCTGGGAAAATATAAATTGCCCTGAAAAACCTTCAAAGTAGTTAAAGAGCAATATATTTGTTATAGCTAAAATGTGTGCACTGCTTTTTTACTTAAAACTCATAAGGCAGTTCTAGAAAGTAAAAAAGAAAGAAATTAGCAAAATTCCATCTTGGAGTTTCCCATTTTTCTTATCAATTGTTTATTCCAAAATTATAGGACTAAAACCAGTGCTTTTCAAGGACTTGTTTCAAGCCCAGAAGCAAAGTAAAATATTATATGTTGTTAGTCAAGATCTTTGAACTAAACTTACATATCAATATATTTTAATGCAGACAGAAGATAAATCCTGAATATTCTTGACAGAACAAAACCAGTTAATAAAACACATATATGAAATTCCCTTGATACTTTGATTTTTTTAGGTAACATTTTAATGCTTGGTT